CTTTTTTGGAACAGTAGGGGTGCATGGAAAAAAAAAGCTACCAACAATTTTATTAAAGCATCATATCAGAGACAATAAGATACACTTCATTAGTCTTAAAGAGACTGGGGTTGAACAGTTCAATCGGAGAGGCATTGATAAAATGGTCGGAAATCGATGGGATTTTTGCTTTTAGTTATCTGTTAAGAAGTGGGGAGGTATTATTATTTTGTGCAGGAGAGATCCAGCCTCTTTCACCACCTTAACTATGAATAACTAGGTTATCCTTGGAAAGGAAATTTTTCTGGACAACAAAACAGGAATAATTGGTAAACTTTATGCTAATAAGGCCCACATAATTCGATGAGAATTATATAAGTGCATCACAGACAATGCGGAAGATGATGTACCTACTCTTGTTGGCGGAGATTTTAACTGTATCATTTAGCAAATGTACCAAAAAGGTGGAAAACCTTTTGTTTCAGCTCAGAGGTTCATGAAACTCTTGAATTTATCAAAGGAATGACTTACACGACTTGGGCTATAATAGCCCTAGATACACTTAATGTAATAACAGGAATATAGAGAACAGAATTTGGGTGAGGCATGATTGAATTCTTGCCAACTCAGTAGCTCTCCAGATTATCACTCTTGGCATGACCAAACATCTACATAGAACAGTTGCCTCATTGTTCAACATCTCAACCAGCCTAAATTCATAACAACATCAAGCCTTTATCCAACTAAGTGGGGTTGTCTATATGAATCCATTTTCTCTATTGTGTCCTATTGAGTGTCATAATTTCATTTAATTCAAATAATTTAAGATCATTTTTTATACAATATGTTCAAGTCTTTTTTGGTCTTCCTTTTTCTTTTTTAATATAAGTCGAATCTAAAACATCTACTCTCTTAACAGAATTATCAGATGGTTGATGTTTAATATGACCAAGTCATCTAAGACAACTCTCTCTAATCATGTTTGCCACTCATCCACCTAAGAATTCTCATCTCAACAACACTTAGATTTGTTTTAGGCTTCTCATTTAAAGGCTAACATTCTTGTCATGAAGCATTGCAGGTCTCACCACCACCGTATAAATTTTCCTTTCAGTTTAAGAAGTACTTCTCTATCACACAATAGGTCGGATGCATTCCTCCATTTCAACAAAACAACTTGAATTCTACTAATAATATCCCCATCTATATCACCATTACTTTGAACAATAAACCTGAGATATCTAAAACGTGCACACCTATTGATTTGATCACCCATAGTTACAATTTTTTTCACTAGAGCTACTTTCATGTATTTAGTTTTAGATCTCTCAAATGCAGGCCTTTAGAATCCAATGAAGACCACCATAATTCAAGTTTATCCTGAACTCTTTCTCTAGACCTATCCACAAGAAGGTTATCATCCGCAAAAAACATACACCAAGGTACCTCTGCCTATAAATGTTCAGTAAGAGCACCCATAACTAATGCAGCAAGATCAGGGCACAAAATGATCACTCAAGTAAAACTGAGTATTATGGTTATCATATCATGTTATTTAGCATATAGTTCAAACCAATTGGGGGAGAGCTAATTACGTTACCAGAGTATAAATTTTGGAAAGGAAGGGCAAACACACTCTCAAAACTTCATTTTTCTGGGTAAAAAAATGAAAAAATGGGAGCCCTCAAAAATAGAATAGAAGCTGAAACTATGGATCTACAAATTTTGGATTGCTCGAAAGAGGGGTTAACAACTGCAACTAAAACTGAACTTTGCGCAAAGGTGCATGAACTTAATGTCATGCTTGCATGCCTAACTATGTGGTGACAACAACATGCCAAAGTTGGATGGTTGCAAGAAGGTATTCGAACACCAACTTTTTTCACTCAATGGCTAGTTCTCATAACAAAACTAACCGCATTAGTCGTTTGAAGTTGAACAATGGGAGCTTTTCTGAGAATCAAATCAATTTATCAAGACCTTTATGGATTTCTTCACCAGTAAATCAAGGAAGGCGCCAATCAGCATGGATGGTTGGTTGAGTATTACCAACATGGCTCTATATTTGGGGGAAGCTACACAGCTCGCGACTGAATTAACCAATGAGGAAATATTGAATGCGAGAAAATGGCTCCTAACCGGGCTCCAGGCAGTGATGTAATTACGAGTTATTTTTATAAGCAATCGTGGAGTGTCATTAACAAAGAGGTTCTACAAGCAATCCATGAATTCTTTTTATTATAAAAATGCCAAATGCTTAGAAAGAATCCCTTGTTGTTCTCCCGCCTAAGGTGAAACATGCTTATGCACCTAAAATGTCCAAGCCAATAAGTCTGTGTCAAACCGTATACAAAGTTGTGGCCAAAATTTTAGGAGAGCGGATGCTTTAGATTCAACTTATGTTAAGAAAGTGAGAGGAGAGGTAAACCTAAATAGACTTGGGGATGTCGTATAAAAAATGATCATAATTTGTTAGAACTAAATGAAAATATGGCACTCAATAGGACACAATGAAGAAAAAGGATTCATGTAGCCAATCCCACTTAGTGGGATAAAGGCTTCATATTGTTTTTGTTGTTATCGTCGTCGTTGTCGTTTTAAAAGAATGTGCCCCAGGTTATCTCACAAGAGCAGAGAACATTCATCCCGCAGCGGTATATTTCGCACCAATGCTTGCTTGCACGGGAAATGATGAACAGAATTAGACATTAGACCCATAAATCTGGTCTTATGGCAATTAATATCGATATGGAACAAGCATACAATAAAATGAGTTGGGAACACTTAGAAACATGCCTGAAAAATGGCTAAGTTCAGCAATTGGGTACTTTCCTATGCGGAGAATCTGACATTTAGCCTTGTGATCAATGGCAAATAGCCACCATGGATTAAAGTGGAATGTCGATTCCGACAAGGGTGCCTTCTCTCAACGCACTAGTTCATTATTTGTTTGAAGCTTCTTTCACTTGCTTTTCGCGAAAGAGTTGAACATATAAGCAACAACCCTTCTAATGGACCCACTAACATCTCACATCTATTATATGCGGACGACATTATTTTGTTCTCGGAAGCATGAATGAAGGTGGCTAAAGTGCTGAGAAATATTATGAACAATTATTGTAGTTGGACAAGTCAATGTATTAATTTGTCCAAATCGACCATCATTTTTTAAGTAAATTTAATGTGAGCTGGAAGAAAAGAAGAATAAGTAACATTTTTTTCAATTCAAACGGGTGCATAAAATCAAATATCTCGAGATTAAATTGGCTATGCAAAAACTTAAGAAAAGAGATTTTATTAATCTATTACAGAAAGCTGCTTCCAAACTCAATGTATAAGGTGTGAGACATCTTTCCCTCATAGGTAGGTCCACACTCATTAAAGCATCAATGCTCGCAATGCGCATGTACCTCAATACCCACACGAAAGTGCCTATTGGAGTTCTCAAGGAGATCAAAAGACGTAGACAGTTTCTCTGGGATAATGAGCCAAACCATCATGCGCTACATTATATTGCTTGGGAAACACTATGGCAACCATCTCATGCCAAGGGTTGGGGTTTTCATGCCTTAGATAGGTGGAAGGGACTCATGCGGGCCAGGCTAGCATGGAATTTTCTTCAAGATCAAGACTCAATCCTCACATATGCTTAAAGAACTATGACAACTATTTGCATAGCAGTAGACATTGTCGCAACGATTTTACTACCCATAAGGTGTTATGCGATGTAACTTAGCAATAATGTATTTATATATCAAGACTCACTCCTCACATATGCACGTACTTTTCAATATGTTTTAGATATATATATCATTTTATATTTATATAACTGTCATGGAAGCATCATTTAAAATTGTATCAATTAAGATATATCAATATTCATATTCATTTCCAGTTACGTGCATGAATATCTTCGCGTCTCACACTAGTACCATAAGGGAATGAACTCCATCATAGACAGCATACTTATACAATCATTTTCCAAAATCCATATCATTCATATATTCATATCATTCAATACATAATATTCAATAAATAATGCATAAAACTTTTCATGCTGAGAGACTATGGGTCTGTTTGGGACAGCTTATAAGTGCGGCGGCATTTTCAAAAATGCTGTCTCACCGTTTGTTTCACACCTTTTGGGTGAATATCCTAAAACCGCATTTCGTATTT